CTTCCAGCCTTTCTTCTCCTACATCTTGCTTATCCCTAAAATTGTTTACTGAAAATTATCTTGTACTTCAAGTTGTACTTTTTTTTTTAAGATTTATTTTTATTATTTTTTCATTGGAAAGGCGGATATACAGAGAGGAGAGACAGAGAGGAAGATCTTCCGTCCGATGATTCACTCCCCAAGTGAGCGCAACGGCCGATACTATGCCGATCCGAAGCCAGGAGCCTCTTCCGGGTCTCCCACACGGGTGCAGGGTCCCAAAGCTTTGGGCCGTCCTCGACTGCTTTCCCGGGTCACAGGCAGGGAGCTGGAAGGGAAGCGGGGCTGCCGGGATTAGAACCGGCGCCCATATGGGATCCCGGGCGTGCAAGGCGAGGACCTTTAACCACTTGCGCTACCGCGCCGGGCCCTCAAGTTGTACTTTCAATATTTCTCCTCTGTGTGAGATTTATTTCTGCTTCCAAAGACTTTATTTATTATCTCTTTCATAGTAAGTTTTTGAAATTCTCATGATTAGTTATTCCTTTTTTAGTTTTATTTGTTTTTGTTTGACACGGAGAAAGGTAGGAATCAAGAAAGAAGAGAAGGAAGCATGTGTGTGTGTGTGAGAGAGAGAGCGAGAGAGCGAGAGAGAGAGACAGAGAGAGAGAGAGAGAGAGAGAGGAGAGAGAGAGAGATCATCCATCCACTGGTTCACTCTTCAAATGGTTGCAACAGCCAGATTTAGGTCAGACTGAACCAGGAGCCAGGAACCCCACCTAGGTTTCTCACATGTGTGGCAGGAATCTGAGTTCCTCAGAAATCACCTGCCCGCCTCAGGGTATGTATTAACAAGCAGGTGGATTGTAAATCAAATGAAAAGTCAAATCCTGGGACTATAATAGAAGAGTGACCAGCCCAGTGCTTTAAATGCTATACGTCCATCCAAATTACTCACGCTTGTATCAATCTGTCTCTTCCAGGTGATTGTAACCTACTCTGCTATCTTCAACAATCAGGAGACAGATTATGTACACATGTATGTTATGTACACATAATTGCTTGCTGGATGAAATCATAAACTATTATGCCCCAGATGTATGATATTGATAATAATCAGTGCAGGCTGACAGTTATATTTCTTCAAGGGATTAAACAATCCTAGATTTGAAGGGTTACTAGGATTTATATAGATTGGTGGGTAACTCATGCAAAGTAAAATTAACTTTATTTGGTCCTTAGTCACCATCACTACTTTTCTTTCTAACTCCATGCTTATGAGAATCAATAAGAGAATGCAAATGTTACAGCAAAGATGTTGTCTGTGACTTGAAATTGTATTATAATTTGCTAGAGGTCACCTGAGAGGGTGGGAAGAACATTGAATAAAAAACTATTGATATGTGTCCTATTTACCTTGCTATGCTAACATGAGAGCGTCAAATCTGCAATGCCTCTTTCTTTCTTTTTCTTTTCTTTTCTTTGTTTCTTTCTTTCTCTTTGTTTTTCTCTCCTTTCCTTCCTTCCTTCCTTCCTTCCTTCCTTCCTTCCTTCCTTCCTTCCTTCCTTCCTTCCTTCCTTCTTTCCTTCCTTTTATCCCTCCTTCCTTTCTCCCTTCCTCCCTCCTTTTCTTTTCTCTTTTCTTTTCTTTTCTTTTCTTTTCTTTTCTTTTCTTTTCTTTTCTTTTCTTTTCTTTTCTTTCCTTTCCTTTTCTTTTCTTTTCTTCTTTTCTTTTTCTTTTATTTCCTTTCATTCTCTCTCTCTTTCTTTTGCACACTGGAATGAAGTTGGAATTTTTCTTCATGTTTCTCCAAAACTAAAAGAAAAAACGCTCATGAACTGATGCTCTGATGAATGATTCCATGTTTTTCACAGAACCTGGTGTGGGGGGCACAGGTTTGGTCTTACTAAATACATTTTTTGTCATACCCCATGGTATCAAGAGTCCTCAACAAAATTTCACAATGAAAAATAGTGTTACTTTCCCTTGATGCTTACTTTCCAAGTATACTTAGATTACAGATGTAGTTTTCCTTTCCGGTCCCATATATAGGTGATTATGAAATCATTTGTTAATGAAATGAGGCAGTTGCACCTTTTATAACAACAAGCATCGCCACTACCATAACATAAAAAACTTCTGGGAATCCTATTACAAGACTGTAATCTTACTAAGATCCAAATAGTAGCGTTGATGACAACTTGAGATCCTTGGATGTACTGTTTTATATCCACAAATCTGACTACTTGTGATTTTTAAAATTGATTTCTTTACACTTCCCTCAAAGTATGATTTTTCTGAATTAGAAAAGGTAGGCAAGGGCCTGTACAACAGCTTCATTGGTATCCCGTATGGGCACCAGTTGGTGTCCTGGCTGCTCCATTTGCCATCCACCGCCCTAATTGTGGTCTGGGAAAGCAGTAGAGGACGGCTCAAAACCTTGGAACCCTGCACCCGCGTGGGAGACCCAGAAGAAGCTCCTGGCTCCTGGTTTCATATCGGCCCAGCTCTGGCTATTACAGCCATTTGGGGAGTGAAACAGCAGATAGAAAATCTTTCTTCCTATCTCTGTCTCTCTCTCTCTCTGTAAATCTGCCTTTGCAAAGAAAATAAATAAATTTTTTAAGGAGAGGTGGAGGGGGCATAGGCAGATGTTAAAAAGTCCAAGCCAGAAAACAACAATTTGGAGGAAACAGCAGCACACAGAAATGGATTAGTTGATACATCATCAAAGTTTTCATTTTTGATTAATGCTTATAAATAGGAGTTTGAAACTATTGTACATGCAACTCAATAAAATCATACAAATATTTTCGTGGGTAGTAGGCTTTATCCTGGCTATTTAATGAACAAAATAGAACTTTTATGGCACTAAGTTAATTAATAATGTAGTGGTTAAAATAGCTAATAAACAAGGGAAGAAAGACACAAATTATAAATGTATAGTCTATAAAAAGAAATAGCAAACAGTATGGGAGTAGTTAGTGGTGTAGATAACGTTCAGAGTGAGGTCCTCTTTGACTTAAAAACCGCAGTTAAAAAGAGCAAAGCTTGTAAATATTTGGAAGAAAAGAATTTCTGTCAGAAGGAATAATGTGTCCAGAAACCTTCGCCAGAAAAAATATCTGGAACTGTATGAGTAACTTAAAGCATTTGAGTGTACCAAAATCTATAGGGTGAGGAAGGGAATGGAATGTAATAATGTTTAAGGACAGAAAAATCATAATATTACACAGCCTTTGGGCCAAAGGGAGAAGTGTGAGCTTAATAATAAAAGCAATAGAGATCCAGCAAAGGATTCTAAGCAGAAAAGGGGCATGTTGTATTAAAGAAGGATTACCGAGGTCACAGTGTGGAAATGATTAGTAGGAGTTCAGAGACAACGTTGTTTCTTCTATGAAGGCATGAAAAGTTTAATTAATAAAAATATATTAAGAGAATTTCAGCAAGTGCTGTAAGCGTCCTAATACAGTTATTAGTCTCTAGAAACAAGTATGAATTCTGTTTCTGTACTACCTCTTCTGTCCTGTACAAGCATTGTGACTTCAGCATGAATTTTTAAAACTAAGATTCAATTTCATCTGTAATATGGAGGTAATCATAGTGTTTCTGTGAGGATAAGTAACACAATGCATAAAGAATGCTTAGCCTATTATTAAATGATAGCCTTCAATAAATTGTAGCCATATTTAACGCTAGTGTTAAACATCATTTGGGAACTAGATCAGAAGGGAAACCCTGGGATGCAGGAAATACAGTAAAGCAGCTATTATAGTGGCCCAGAACAGTGTTTCCAGTAGCCTGAATTAGGATGGTGACAGGGAGTGAAGCTGAGTTGGAGAGTTTTCTAAAAAATGTTCTTTTGAAAATTTGAATTTTAGATTCGTTTTTTAAACAGATTCAATGTGGATTGTGGATACAAGTCTAAGAACCTAATGCTATTTCCTTCTTTCCTCCCTTTCTTCCAACCTTTTTTTTCTTCTCTCTCTCTCATCTTTGAAATAATGTATTTTAAATTTACATTGCAGTAATTTAAAAGATAGAATCTCTTGGTTTACGGTTTGAGATGGGAGGAACATTGTGACAGAAGAACTAATTCATCAATTTCCAGTTTGAGTGAGTGAGGGGAGAGTCCTGAAACTGATTGAGAAAGGAAGCATAGATTCAAGACTGAATCCTCAACCTCACATCGTTGTGTCAGACAGAAACTGAAGTTATGTTTATGTTGAAGAGAGTTACTGACAATCCAAGAGATAAATCAAATAGAAATAATCAACAATAGAGCCAGAGTCAGAATCATGAGAGAGATGAAGACAGAGAAAAGGAATGCAATCCGACTTTAAATCTTTCTCCCAGTATTTTCTCGTTAGTGGTTTCTTATGACTGTTCTTCTTACTGAAATTTCAGAAATAGCACAAATTGTCTATGGTAAGCTAAATATTGCCTCCTAAGAAAATCTGTAGTTCTGCCCAACCCAATATAAATTCCCTCTGCTTTTGGCTGGCCTGGGGATTTTACATTTCATTGTCACAATATAGATTTGGAGAAAATTCCTCCCTGCTTTACCTCAAATCTGGTGTAAGGAAGAAGGGTTTGAAAGTACCCCATGCAAATATCTAAGCTTACAAGGAAGTGTGAATTACAGAGGCATAAAAACCCACAATAAAAATGAAGCGGTGAATTTCACCTCTAGCTTACCACTCTGGCATAATCTGTTATTTACAACAAAGGTGTGAACAAAACATGCCTCTTTAGTAAGGGAAACTTTCTACACAGATGAAGTGAAAACAAGCAACCATAGCTGTTAAGTCTAAAAATGCAAGTATGATTTGAGAGGATGTGAGCTCTTATTAGTTTTTTTGAAATCGTGATACAACAGACACAGCTTAATTTGCTGGTTCACAGTCCCCGCATGGATAACACATGAGAGTAGAAGCAGTGAAGATACTGAAGTCAAAATTTTGTGGTGAGGAGGGATGGCCGGTGTGTATGTGAACAATTTTTACTTTTATCTTGACAGCCTAACTAGCTGAACCTTAGGGTTATGCAATCAAAGAGTACTTGCATGCGATTAAAAAGGTCCTTCCAGCATGTGTTCTTTGCATGTCACAAAAAGGAAAGTGAAAGTGGCTGCATTCCACTAAGTATTCTCTCCTATTCAAGTAGAGGTAAGTGGCATATGGAAAAAGTATGCATTTTGGAGCAACCCAGACAATACAGATAATGCGATCTTTACCAATTTCTAGTTTTCCTTTTTAAAAATCAATTAGCTGAATCTCTCCAAACCTTAGTTTCTTCATTGGCAATTTGAGAACAATAATAATTCCCCTCCCTGGGATTGTTATGAGAAGTAAATCAGATAAAACCTGTGAAAACTTCCTTGGTAGATTTCAGGGCACATCCTTGGTTGTCATCACTTGACAATCATATCCTCCCTTTCCACCTGAGAACACCCCTCCACTCTCTACTCTTGTCATACATACATATGCAAGATGAGTGCATGACTGAGACATAGCACAGCATCGATGGCTGGGCAAGAAAGGAGGCTGAATTGCAGAGGAAGGAAAATGAGAGTATTCATTAGAGAACAGCAGCTTACTACATGAGCACCTTTGAAAAGATGATTTGTTTCAATGGCAGAATTACAGACAAGGACACACAAACACATATATACATACTCATAGATCTTTTTATTTTATTTTTTAAAGATTTATTTTATTTTTATTGCAAAGTCAGATATATAGAGAGGAGGAGAGACAGAGAGGAAGATCTTCCTTCCGATGATTCACTCCTTAAGTGACTGCAATGACTGGAGCTAAGCCGATCCGAAGCCAGGAGCCAGGAGCTCTTCCGGGTATCCCACATGGTTGCAGGGTCCCAATGCTTTGAGCCATCCTGGACTGTTTTCCCAGGCCACAGGCAGGGAGCTGGATGGGAAGTGGAGCTGCCGGGATTAGAACTGGTACCCATATGAGATCCTGGTGCTTTCAAGGCAAGGACTTTAACCACTAGGCCACTGTGTTGGGCCCTAAATCTTTTTTTCAAAAGTCTTTTTAAAGGTATTTATTTATTTATCTTTATTGGAAAGTCAGATCTTTGACTCACTGATTCACTTCCCAGTAGCTGCAAGAACAGAGCTGGAACAAACTGAAACCAGGAGCCTGGAACTGCGCCTGGAGTCTCTCATAAGAATGGCAGGGCTATCTTGGGCTGCTTTCTCAGGCATATTAGTAGGGAGCTCAACAAAAGTGGAGTAGCTGAGAGTTTCACTGGTGCCCATACGGGATGCCAGCATTGCAGGCAGTGACTTAACTCAATGCACCACTATGCTGGCCCCACATAAATGCTTTTTTATATATGTGAATTCTTTGCTAGGGTTTTTACTCTTTTATCACATCTCTCTTTTCCTAGAATAGGGCGGAACATTTTATAAAAAGCCATTCTGCAAATTAAAAGGGGAATAAAAAATGAAATAGTTCCTTTTTATATTAATTAGAACAAAACAAAATGAAAAAAACTAAAAACAACAACTTTCTCACTTCTATTTCTATCTCTAAATTTAATAAACATCCCTGTAATACAAAGATAAAGCAGAGTGTGTGTATGTGTGTGTGTGTGTGTAGATTAGGTTACTTGTCCACCTGCCTGAAATCTCAGAGCTTCCGTTTGATAGTCACAATAAACACTCTTCTCTGAGTTTGTCTCAATTTGATTTTCAAAGATAATTTCTAATGTGAAATTCTGCAAGATATTTAAAGTAATAAATCTATTTCTCTTTTTCTATTCTTACGTACCAGAGGCTTGCGTAATTCCATGGACAGATCTTGAGAAGCGCTAAATACTACTTTCCCCACATTCTGATACAGCACATAATAAGATACATTACATCCACAAAATATATTTGTGGTCATTTTCTGCTTATACCCTATGCATCATTTACTGTAATCATTGGATAATCTGCAAAGCCAAGGAGGCCACACAAGTTCAGAATTCCTCTTAGAGGGAGAATTTATCTTTTCCTTTCCAAGCTCACATGAGGGAGAATACTCTAGTTCAGCTTTTAAATCAATATACTGTCAAAGTATTTCATTTCGGTTTGCAATGGAACCAAAGCCAAGGGAAAGACAAATATCAGGAGAATCTCTGAGTCACAAACTAATGTAACACAATAACAAAGAGACTGTTTTCTGGTTCTCAAAATGGCCATGACAATGGGGCTGCAGGTTCAAAGAACATGACTATTTTCCAAGTGTTGGGTTGCCATGGTAGCAAGCCAAGACCCAATGAGAGCAATATGAGAAAATCCCAGAAGTGAAGGTAAACTTCTAGCATTGTAATTAAGTGAGCAAGATTCATTCTAACCAAAATTTTGAGCAAAATAAACTTGGAGGCAAAAGAAACTTGTTCAAAACACTGTGTGTCTAAGGTGAGAACAATATATTAAATATTTCAAGATATCCTTGCCTGAAAGGCATATCTTAGGTAATTCAGGAGTGTAATTTTGGGGCACTTACATGTTTTCCTAACTGATTCATTAGGTCACACTGAATTAATTGTATGTAAGCCTTGAGCTTTTCGTTCTTTGTATGCAGAACCCTTTTAATTATAATTCAAATGTCTTAATGCATAGAGAAATGGATATTGATAAAACAATATAAAGCCATTACATTCTATTTTTTAAAATTTTTTCAGGTGTCATAAATCCATAGCTTACCTTGATGAATATACTGCAATACTCAAGATGGGTAGCAACGACACCAGCAATGCCGAAACTGACTGCAATGTCACCAATGTGACATTTCACTATTCGCTGTATGCAACTACCTATATCCTTATATTCATCCCTGGTCTTCTGGCCAACAGTGTGGCCTTGTGGGTTCTGTGCCGCTTCATCAGCAAGAAAAATAAAGCCATCATTTTCATGATCAACCTCTCTGTGGCTGACCTTGCTCACGTGCTGTCCTTGCCCCTCCGGATTTACTATTACATCAGCCACCACTGGCCGTTCCAGAGAGCTGTTTGCCTGCTGTGTTTCTACCTGAAGTATCTCAACATGTATGCCAGCATTTTCTTCCTGACGTGCATCAGTCTTCAGAGGTGCTTCTTTCTGCTCAAGCCCTTCAGAGCCAGAGACTGGAAGCGTAGATATGACGTGGGCATCAGTGTGGCCATCTGGGTCATCGTGGGGACTGCCTGCTTGCCATTTCCCATCCTAAGAAGCACAGATCTAGGCAACAACACTGATTCTTGCTTTGCCGATCTTGGTTACAAAAAGATGAATACAGTGGCTTTGGTTAGTATAATTTCATTTGCTGAGCTTGCAGGGTTTGTAATCCCAGTAGTAATCATTGCATGGTGTACCTGGAAAACCACTATATCCTTGCGACAGCCACCAGTGGCTTTTCAAGGGATCACTGAGAGGCCAAAAGCACTGAGGTTGGTTTTCATGTGTGCTGCCGTCTTCTTCATTTGTTTCACTCCCTATCATATTAACTTTATTTTTTACATTATGGTAAAAGAAGCCATCATTAGCAGTTGTTCCATTATCCAAAGCACGCTGTATTTCCACCCTTTTTCTCTGTGCCTTGCAAGTCTTTGCTGCCTTTTGGATCCAATTCTTTATTACTTCACAGCCTCAGAGTTTCGTGATCAACTATCTCGCCACAGCAGCTCTGTGACACGTTCTCGCCTCATGAGCAGAGAGAGTGGTTCATCAATGATTGGTTAACAAATAAAATAATTCTTAAATCATGGGCTTTGTTGACCTAAGTTTCCTTGGCCTTTTTCCAAAGACTAAAATTACAAGTCAAATAATGTCTTTAATTGTACTTGGAAACAACAGAAGTATATGTTTTCTTGCATGTTGATTGTCACCACAGGAGTTGGATTGTGAAGGGACAGTAAAAATGTGGGAGAAGAAGGGAAGATGGCATTATCTGTTTCCTTTTTGGCAATTCTAGGCACTTTCTTACTGAAGAGTTGTAGATTGAGTTTTCGTATCTGTTTTCAAACAGAAATTGAATACTTTAACCTTAAATACTTCCTCAGTGAATACATTGTTCATGTGATAAATATAAAATTTCTTTTCTAGCAAATGAAAGTAAACCTCTTTCCTATAAAGACTGTAATTTATGAACTGGATTAACAACCCTCAGTCTTGGGTGGTGTGAATAGTTGAAGACTTGTCTGCATAAATATCAGGATCACAATATTCTGTTGAAGGAAGAACATGGGACTGCATTTATTCATTGAAAATGTATCAGATATCTATCATGTTCTGGGTTGTCACTTTCTTAGTTTCTTGCATGGCATTTGATCTGGTCCTTTGGATAAACCTGTAGAAAGTTTCCAATTCAAATAATAAATGGAGCTTCATTGAGATTAAATGACTTGCTTCAAGAAAAAATCATGTGTGAGCTAAAATATATCCAGTACACAGTGCATATTGTTAAGTCATTTCCTCTGTTTGTATTGTTGTGTGTGTTAGATCCTAAATATGTATTCACTGGTGAAGACACAGACTACAGCTAAACTACACGAAGAAAAGACCATTTAAACAGAAATCATGTTAACTGAAATGTCTGTGGATTATTGGATTGCCATGTCAACCTTCAGGCTACAAGATCTCAAGTGATAAATACATTATTCTATTACTGTCCCCATCTGCAGAGTCCTTACAGTAAGAAACATCGGATGCACAAAAATTTCATTATTTTCCCAAAAACTCGATTTTAAAACTTAATGCAGACTATACAAACCTCATATGTAGATGCAATAAATAAAGCAATACAACAGAAGTGGGTGTTTATTAAGCAACTATGAGATTGATTGGGATACCACATCCAGTTGTCCAAGAACCTGGGGTGAAATTCCAGCTCCATTCTCAAATATGGTTACTGCTAATGCAAACTCAGAGAGACAGCAGTGATGGCTCAAGTGGTTTGGTCCCTGCTGTCCACATGAGGTACCTATACTGAGTTTCCAGCTCCTGGTTCCAGCCTGTTCCAGGCCTGGCTTTCACATTTAAAGGGTAAACCAACAAATGGGAGATATTTGTCTGACACATATGTCTGTGTCGCTTACAAACGAATAGATAAGTCACTCTGAACAAAAATGTGTTTACGAGGTTCTTGAAAAGCATCTTTGTATGTAGAACTATCACGTTAGAAGAAAATATTACCAAATCAGGAATAAATTGGGGGAAAGTATTGGTGCCTCACAATTGGGTTTTTCCAAAAGTTACGGATGTTGTTTCAGCTTTATTCTGGAGGTTTTGAACACAAACAATCCTTTAGCTTCTCAGGTTGACGTTTATTAAGCTCAGTGCAATACTCTGATCTTTCATGACTTCAATGTGAATAGCAATCTTCAGAATACTGCTTTGAATAGACTGGTTATGAAAAAGGAATGAGAAAATACAACGAAGAGAAAATCTTTTGTTTTAGAGAATTAAGTTTGTAGGTGTGGGAATTCTATAATTACAAAGTAACAACAACAACAACAGCAAAGGAAAACCAGTTTGTTCTTGCACATTATTAGCATGGATATGAAGGCACTGACTAAAGAGAATGTGCAGATGTGCTTGGATTTCATATCAGAATTATCAGAATGACTCTTTGGAAAGCCCCACCCTAAGAAGATGACTTTGAAATAAACATGTCTGAGAGCACACATCCCGCTGTGTTTGCGGAGGAAATAGTCCTCAGCTATTAAGAGTAGCATTTCATATTGCCGCCTTTCAAATGGTTGAAAAGAAATGGTGCTTGAAGCACACGGTTTATTAATTAGTGGGCGAATTAAGAGATTGTGCTTAATTTTGACACAATTTAATAAGACTGATTTTATTCTGACACATGAATTCTTCATATAATGAAAAAGAAGAAAATTAAAAACATACAAGCAAGCTGGGGAACCGTACATGATGTGAGGGGGAAAGATGACAGTGCTTTAACTAATGAGATAACTCCAGAAATCATCAGGGCCACATTCTAACTTCTCCATATGCTTGTCACAGCGATGTGATATGAGAAATAATTGGGTGAAAATAGGAAGAACAGAATTTTCACAGTATGTACAGCCTTAAATATATTTAAGTGTAATTTCATTATGCTGATTTACCTTTAGAACATTTTAATGATTAGCAGGGTGTTGATAAAGCAGATGTTTTAGCTATATCGATTATCCTCAGAAAAGTTGATCAATTCTATAAAAAATATTTTTCAAGCTTTTGCTTGAAACCGTAACATTGCCATTCTAAAACTGCTGCTCTAAGAAAATCAGCTTCTGCTTGTATCTTTTTATAGATTTTCCAGGAACAAAAACCACAATGAAGATAAAATTACTGTTTATAATATAAAGTCACATTCTCCTATTATGTAGCAAGACACATAGGTATAATATTAACATTTTTGAACTAATACTGTGCCATTGAATACATTATATATGCAATATGTACAGACATGTAAAAGTATGCAGTCATCATCTAAGAGACTGAAAGTTTTAATTAAATTACTAAGATCTCAAATTTGCTAGCGATCAATAGATAAGGTACTGTGATTCTTGGACATTTTAATTATTGGCCATGTTTTTGTTTTCAAATTAACACATAGCATTATTTTCATCTATATGTTACTTTTACAAGTTAACTATGTGTACATCATGTTGAAAGTATAAAATTTATAAAAATATAAAACAGTTTTTTAGAAGCTGAATCTCAAAATGCATACTAATGAAGACTGAACAGTAGCAAAGTTACGGGAGCTGCTAGCATAGACTATTCACAGATCTTCATGATTTGGAGGGTGGGTTTTCATGACCTGAGAAATTGCATTTCAACTGTGACATGCATAATAGAAATATGTTAAGGTTATGTGAAATACAGAAGAAGGGTCAACGTTCTTTTTGGGCTCCCTTATCTACCAAGGGTGGAAACAGTAAAAGTCAGAAACTGAACAGAACTGTGCCCTTGAGCATGGTTAGAAATACAGAGTATTGATAATTAACAAAGTTGTAAATGTTAGAATTTAAAATATCTTCATTTTTAGGTCTAGAATTTGAATGCATGTGTGAGTCAGTATACATCTTCAAAATAGAGGAAATTAAAAAGGAAATAGGTCCAAGAAATGATGATTGGATATAAACTACGGACAAGAAACTTTATAGAAGTATACATCATTGTTTACTCATTCATTTAACATTGGAGCATATACATAATTTCACATTCACATGAAAAACCAGAAATATGCAGCAAATATACTATCATGTGTTTTATGTAACTATATAAAGGGCTTTACATTGGTTGTCATATTTCTCACAATAGCCACCATGAAAAAATTTCAAAAGCAGATACAGTTTAGAAAATCTCATCTTTCCCACATTCATTTTTAAAGACTTATTTATTTTTTTATTAGAAATGCAGATTTATAGAGAGAAGGAGAGACAGAAATATCCAGCATCCATTGGCTCACTCCGCAAATGGACACAATGGCTGGAGCTAAACTGATCTGAAACCCAGAGCCAGGAGCTGCTTCTGAGACTCCCACATGGGTTCAGAGTTGCAAGACTTTGGGCCATCCTCTGATGCTTTCTCAGGCCATAAGTAGGGAGCTGGATGGGACACAGAGCAGGCAGGACTGGTGCCCACTTAGGATCCTGGTGGAGGATTAGTTAATCTAGCCAATGTGCTGCGGCCATCACAGTCTTTTTTATAAATATTTACAAGCCTTTTTTTTTTAAAGCACTGTCAGGGATTACAGTAAATGGATATATGATGCTATAGATGTCCTCAGACATGAGTATACATAATTTTTCAAAGCAAAAAGCTTGAAAACACATACTAAAATTTCTAATCTACTTATATCTGGGATATCTGATTATAGATGAGTGTTATTTTCCACTGTAGATTTTTATGATTTTTCAGAAGTTCTTTGGTAAACAAACTATGTTTAAATGATTTATTTATGTGAAAGAGTAATCAGAAATAAAGGGAGACAGAAAGAGATCTGCCTGCTGATTCACTCCCTAAATGTCCACAAAAATCAGGGGTTGCCCATGCCAATGCCGGCGCCTCAATGTGGGTCTCCTTCACAGGTAGTTGGAGGACCAAGCACTTGAAACATCTTCCCTTGTTTTCGCAGGAACATTAAGAAAATGTTTGAGTGGAAGCTCAGCAACCATTACTCAAACAGGCACTCATATGTAATACTTGCCTCTCTGGCAATAGTTTGATATCTGTGCTACAACTCTAGCCTTAACATAGTATCTTTAACCACAACATTATTAAAATGTGTAGTGACAATTAAATGTTGAAGAAAAATGTTATTTCCTCAATACAAAGTGTTGGTACTGCAATAAAAAAAGGAGCAACAAAAGGCAATCACTTAGTGTAGCAGTTAAGATGCCAGTTGGGGTGCTCGCATCCTCTACTAAGACGGCTGATTTGAGTCCTGGGTGCTCTACCTCTTACCTAGCTTTCCATTGATACTCTGAGCAGCACAGGTGATGGTTCAAGTACTTTGGATTGCTGCCATCCACGTGGACACCCACATAGAATTCTTGCCCCCAGTTTTAGTCAAGCTTAGCCCAGAATATTATTGGGTGTTAGGAGAGTCAAGCACAAATGGAAGATATCTCTGTCTCTCTCGTTCTCTCTCTTATTTCCTTTTAAAATAACGTTCAAAACATATCAATGAAGCATAACAGATATTTGGAAACAAAAACACATAGTAAGGGAATGTAGATTATGAAATTGATGTAATGCTTACAATAGTTTTTATGAACTAGCTCACAAGGAGATCTTCAGAAGGCAAAAGAAGTTTTTGTTCATAGAACATTATATGGTTGAAATTATGACTAAGGTAAATTACATGAAGTAGAAAAGGCAGAACAAATATGAGACAAAAATCAGAAAATAATATGGTTATTCCATTGCAATCAATACTTTTCTGTTCCAAATAATTATCAAACCAAGCAAGAACAAGAAAATATAAAGTTAATTGCATAAGAAGTTATGAAAAGTGTTTAATGAATTTCCACTAAATGAAAATATGCCTGGTGTATTTTTAAAAATTTCAAATACATAATTTTAATTTCTAATAATTACTCATAAAAGTGGGTAATAGAGGTAAACTTTGAATTCATGTTCTAATACAATTTTATGGCTAATAAGAAACATATAGGGCCCAGCACGGTGGCCTAACGACTAAAGTCCTCGCCTTCACAGCGCCAGGATCCTACATGGGCGCCAGTTCTAATCTGAGCAGCCCCGCTTCCCATCCAGCTCCTGGCTTGTGGCCTGGGAAAGCAGTTGAGGACTGCCCAAAGCCTTGGTACCCTGTACCCGCGTGGGAGACCTGGAGGAAGTTCCTGGCTCCTGGCTTCGGATCGA